CTTCAACTTACAGAGACCCAGTGTGACAGAGTAGAACTGCCCCATAGGGTTTTCTAGGCTGTAATCTTCATGGGTGCATATCACCAGGTCTTTCTCCTGCAGAGCCACTGGGTAGGTTCAAACTGCCGACCTTCTGGTTAGCAGCCGAGCACTTAACCATTGTGCCACCAGGGCTCCTTTGTTTGTGTTTGTGCATAACTGGGCTATTAAAAAGTTTGTATGGCAATTAATCTCTATATTATACAGATTCTGGAACCGAATCAATCAAAAAAAGAAAAACTAGAAATAGTTGTATGACAATCTATTTTCATATACATATAAGACAAAGTAGGTTTAGGTTATAATACATTCTTAGAAAATTTTACGACACTTATCTTTTTTGCATAATGTAAAAGAGGAACAATTAAATTATGTTATGGCAACTTAACTTGTAAAAGTCTAAGTGGTCTCACAAATCTGATAAAGTAGACACGAGCACCAAGGGAAGAAGGCTTGCTTACAGATAATTTCTAACATGAACCAAAACCCCTTACAAAGGCCTTCATGAGGTGTTCTAATTCCCTTATTATACTGTCATGTTATTGAATTGATACTAATTAACATCACTGGTGAGTGTTCAGAATTCTCTTATAAAATAGTACAAATTTTCCATTTCAGTAAGATTTAATAGGGCAAATTCTCTGTGTCTTTTGGAATAACGAGGTGTAAAACTATGAAAAATTTATGCACAGGCAAAACAATTAACTATGAAGTTTAGAAGCAAGCAAAAAAAAAAAAGGAAGTGGGGAGAGAGACTCTCTCTTTTATATATACACATTTTTTAATACACTGATGTTTCAGGTGTGAGGAAACAGGATATTTTTAGAGGGATAATTATTAGACTAAAATTGTCGTATTATTTAAAGTCAATGTCACTAGTTAAAATGTAATATTTTATGGAAAACAAAAAGTACGTTACTTTCATGTAAATCTCTAACCTGTGGTATAAAACAAGTTATATAGGTCAAGTTGAGCCTCTTTTACGTTTTTTTGTTGTTAATCCAGCATTGTTTGTGAAAAAAGCAGAAGTGCTTACTTAGTTTGGGTACCGGCTGCGTGTCCCAAAACTGGTATCTGTGTTTTGCAGCCTCATCAATGTTCCTGGCTGGGCCCTGGCACGCGGATAACAGCTCCATTGCTCTCTGGATATCCTGCAACTTCTGCATTGGAATGGTGGGGTTCTATAAACAGCAAAGACATACAGACACAGAATATGAAGACGTTGCCACTGCCTTTACACCTAGGGCACACCCGTCTCTGTCTTGGAGACTACAACACCTGGAAACTAGTCATCCTCCTCTAAGCCTGGCCAAGGTACTCGACTCAACTATGTTACCATATTCAAGTATAAGCAAACATATAATGTCAAAGATAACAATAGTTCTATAGTTTTAATGGGGCTCTCTGGCAGTTTGGGGAATCTCAAGTCAATCACTCCACCTGTCGCTGCAGTTTCCCACCCATCTGCAAATATTCCTCACCAGGACTCATCCGGGAGGGGAAGTAAAAGGAGGGACATGCAATCTGTGCACTACTGTCACAAGGCAGCCAGTCAGCCACTATGGGGGTTTCGCTGTTAGGGTTAATGCTCGGGAACAGCAATGGGGTGACAAAGCAAATAACTTCTAGAACAGAAACTAGGCAGAAAGGGGAATTTTAGTTCATTAAAAAAAAAAAGAAGAAACCAAAAGAAATCCGAATTTAGTGCTGAGCTGGGAAGGAAGTGATAATCAAGAAAGGAAACCATCAACAACTCCTCTTTTGCCTGGACTACGCCCAGCCCTTCTCCTGATGCCGATGCTCCTCGAGAGAGAAACCTTCCAACAAGCACCAGCTGTTTCCTCTATAAATCTGATCCTTGGCAACCACAGCCTGCTCTCCCCAACACAAGTGCTGCAACATAGGCTCCTTTTTAGTAACATATATATTCTCAGTCTATAAACCTGACAATACCTTTAAATTCCAGAGTTCCTTCCCCAAAGCCCGTATTCCTGTCATCTCTAAAGATTCCCCAGCCTCCCTCCTTTTTTTAAAATCCCTCAAATAATGTAATAATACATGGGAAATGAGGCTGTGCTTGAAATGAGAGGGCAGTATATGGGACTAAAAATGAAAACCTGTGAGTGTTTTAAATATGCAGAATAATAGACAATTTTTAGAATTTTGATACCATACAGAGATTGCGCTTAGCTCTAATTCAAAAGTGGTTAGAAGAAATTTCAGAGCCCTTCAGTTTTCCTGTATACACCATGAGGCCCAAGGAAAGGTACAATCAATCCTCCATGGCTTATAAACACAACTTTGGACTTCTCTGTTCAACTCTGAATCTGAAGTCTGAAGTCTGGAGTCAACAACTTAACTTGGGAAGCTTACCCAGTTGACACAGCACAAAATGGGATTTATTTAATATAGAGTGCTGTGACTGCTTCACTCACTGGGTTTCCTTAGGATTCTTGCAACTAGGATGGTTCAAGGAAATAAAGTGCTGATGTCTAGCTGGAGACAGGCTTACTGTCTCTACTTATATGACTTAACAGCACAGCCCAGAATTACCACAGTGTTGTAAGACTGCTTGTCTTATATATGATTGAGATCAAAATCCTAAAGCTCATATTTTAATCACAGATGCCAATTTAACAAAGTACTTCTGCTAATCTTCTAATGTGCTGTATTTTTGAATTATTTCTCTTGTTCAGGTCTCTTATGAACTTCCAACATAAAAATACCTGATTTCTAGCAAAATGAAATTTATATCCATTTTAACTCCAACAATACAATCTACAACTTATATAGCAAGTGAGATCTCAGCATATTTAACTAACAATACTTGGACATGTATCAGTTTATCTTAAAAAGCCAAAAAAACCTCAGTTTTACAAAAATATGTCTATAGTGTCTGCACCCAATTTGTTATGACAATTTTTCTTTCCCGATATTTGAGTTAAATCCTCTAACACTAATAAACCCTTGCTGTAGTTGATTCCAATTCATGGTGACCCATGTGTTAACAGAATAGAATCGCCCCATAGGGTTTTCTTGGCTGTAATCTTTATGGAAGAAGAATGCCAGGCCTTTCTTTCACAGCATGCTGCGTGGGTTTGAACTGCCAATCTTCAGGTTAGTAGCTGATCGCAAACTGCTTGTGTCACCCAAGGACGTTTAACACTAATATATCAAACTCAAACACAAAGGAATCAGCATCTCTGTTCCAAAGGAGCCAATGATATCCCAGCTCCAGGAAGAAGACCTCAGAGTGGTTTATATCCCACCTATAATTAGCTTCATCAAGTCAACCAACACTGTCTACATGAAATGACTATTCATAAAATATTTATATCCCAATGCTCACTATTTAAATACATCCTTTAAGAAGATGTAAGTAAGCATAATTTTCAAATCCATGGTGACAAAGCAGTAGGGAAAACTCAAATACATAAATTCTTAAACCTATCCATTCCATTAAACAACTTCCGTAGTTGTACCACCTGGGGAGAAATGAATTAGTGTTACGAAGGGTGAGAATGTACACGGACCCTGAATCAACCCCCACTATTATATTCCTATGGGAGAGTCAGGTACCCCCCTTCTCCTCCACACTTGTTCCTTGTGGAATACTAAACATCAACTATACTCTTTACCCAATACTTTACAAATTTACCATCTTGGGAAAAAAAAGTCAAGTCATCTACCACTAAGAAGTATACAAGAATCCACAAACAAATATCACTTTTATTTTGGTTCTTGAGTATTGCCCAGAATACACTCCAAACGCAGTCTTACTGTACTTTATGGTGTTATCTACAGTGAGCATCAGTTTAAGGAGAAGGAGCCCCAGTTTTTAAAAATGCAATGGAGAAAAGCCCACATTGAAACAATTTTGACTTGCTTTTAACTAGGAAAAAAATGTAATTCTCTACCACATAATGCTAACAGTTTCTCCTGCCTTGGTTGGCTCTAGTTTCTTACACGTGACCAGAGGTAGGGGAAGGGTCAGAATCCTCAGGGATACAGAGGATGGGTACAAGCTGACGGGGATGGTAAAAGCCAATAAGGAGATGTCCACAAATTGCGTATGAACTAGCAGCACATTTATCTGATGAAGCAAGGTTCAGAAACGAGAGAGGTATTTTGCAAGCTTGTGGCGGCATCCTCATTATGAGTTACCTTGAAAATTATGTCTAGTTGGTAGAAAATTCATTACATGAGAACCAAACGGAACAGCTAAGGAGGAAGGCTCCATTTTCTCCTCACCCCACAAAGTCAGTCAGGGAAAAACTGGGGCGAATCATTTCATTTCTCAGACTCTAGATGTAGTAGGAAAAAACCACCTGCAAGACTCACCTCATGGGATACGATATAAGCTTTATACAAGAGAAAAATTTTAAAATCCCACAAAACTTGCATAATGGCAATAACTTGCAATATACACAGTGCTTTAAACTCACTGACACTGAGTCGATTCTGACTCACAGTGACCCTGCAGGACAGAGTAGAACTGCCTCATAGCGTTTCCAAGGCTGTCATCTTTACAGAAGCAGACTGCCACAACTTTCTGCCACAGAGCAGCTGGTGGGTTCTAACTGCCGACCTTTCAGTTAGCAGCTGGGCGCTTTAACCACTGCACTACCAGGGTTCCTTACACAGTGCTTTACAATATAAAAAAATCATTTCATAAAAATTATCTTATTTTTACCTCATAACAACCCTTGAGTTGGCATGAGGGTATCATCCCCATTTTACAAATAAGGAAACGGGCTTAATGAGGGCAACTCGTCCAAAGGCAAACAGCTTGTGAGTAATGGAGCCAGGACTAAACCCAAGGTTTCTACCTCCTGGGCCATTTCCAGTAAACCACATGCTTTGAGCTACAATCAGTTATCAAAAATAATCTCTGTTTTGTTGTACTTGTGACTCTACCCCTTTTCACCCTTAAGATTCTTGCATCAAGAGGGCTTTGTGCTTCCCAGCACACAAGGACTGGGTGACTGGGGATTAGCTCCAAAAAGTGGGTGGCTGCCATCTGTACTATGAGATGCCCATGGAACACAACCAACCCTCCGCCTGTTGGCAATCTGCCAACACAGAGCTCAGCTGGACAACTACTACTTTGGCCTAAAACAGGTGTTTCTTCAGGGGAATGTGAAGATGTATGTCCCACCCTTGACAATATAATCAAGAATGGCCACTGAAGACTGGCTTGATTCAAAGTCAATGTAAGACTTACCCATGGTTGCTCCCGCTGAAATCTGCTGCCAGATGGTGTTGTGCTATTCAGGTAATTAGACAGACACCCAGAGAAATTAAAACGTGAATATCTTCTGAACTAAAAGTCATCAAATATTAAGTGTAACTTAAAAAAAACCTAACATGCTCACATTGAGACTTTCCTCTATGGCTACAGTCTAAATACTAACTGAGAAAGGGGAGAAGCATGGGAGGTATCCACAGACACACAAAAGTTCAATTTGTACCTACTAGTTATTTGAGTGCCAAAGGCAGTTTTAAGGCTGTAAATACCCTCCTTTTACTAGTGCCATTCAACGCACAGTCACAACAGAAACCCTAACTACACATCTGACTCAACCGAGTATTAAGCTGCATAAACCCACTCTCACATGCATGAGAAACCACAGAGGTTAAAATAAAAACAGGGCTCTCACTTTTGAAGGCTGCTGCATTTTAATCTCCTGGGAATCAGATGCAGAATCTGACTTGGTGCCTCCGGAATTGGGTTTCTCCTTTTTTCTCTTTTGTTTCTTCTTTTTCTTTTTGGCTCCCAAATCCCCTCTGGGACTTCTGTTAGAAAATTCAAAGGGATAAACAAGAACAACAAGAAACTGTTATATAAAATAGCTTTAAACTAATAATTCAGAAAAACATGTATGTTACACAGGGTGGAAACACTATGTGGGGATGCCAATGGAAGATGAAACTTGGTCGGATTAAGAAATTAACAGAGACAATGCAGGAGAATATTAGTCCATATTCAGTCACACTGTAGGGTACTTAGATGTCATTTACGCAGGAAGACTGTATTGTAAACCATATTTTATAAATGCAGTCCAATAGCTTTCACAGTTATGGTATCACTGCTTTCCTAACCTACATTTCTGTTAGTCTCTTCAGGGAGACTTTATAGTTGTAAAAAATTCCACTGTAAAACATCTCTTGGGTACAACAAACCATGAATCTTGTTGCAACAGAACTAAAGAAACTGCCTCTCTTGAGAAGGAGATATTTTTCGGATAAAGATTTTTTACTAGCAGGACTAACAAAAAACTCTGTAAGTAAAAATAACATGAACTGTTACAACATTTCAGTTTGGAATTCCTGTCATCTTATGCTAGTTATATTCTGAAAGAGCAAAAAAACAGGAAAAAAAAAAAAAACCCATAAGGAGATTTTAATTTTCCATTTACTTGGGCCTACTCTCCCACTAAAATTCCCAGGAAATAAATTAAAATTTAGAGTCAGAGATTATTATTGCCTGAGGTAGGCCAAACTGATGAGACAACCAATCCCATCAGATTTTAAGTCAGTCAGATCTATCTGTTCCTACCAATTTTCTCTTCCTAATTTTTTCCTAATTACAAAACAAATGTTCATCATACAAGATTTAAATATCACCAATATATTAACATCCTTTATAATACTGTCCTTCAAAAGCTACCAATAGTTTTTCTGGTATATATTCTTCCAAAACTGATTCTGTTCTGTAAACACGGCCTTGTTTTTACTCTGAGTAATTTTTAAATAAAAATGGAATCTTGAACATACTATGTATCAACTTGCTTTTCTTCCCTTTACTTAACGTAGCTTGAAAATATTTTCATGTCAGGACATAATGAGCTGATTTCTTTTTAGCAGTTGTATAGCACTCCAACTGGTGGTGCAAACACTAGTGGTATAGTGGTTAAGTGCTATAGCTGCTAACCAAAAGGCTGGCAGTTCGAATCCACCAGGCACTCCTTGGAAACTCTATGACTCTATGGGGCAGTTCTTCTCTGTCCTGTAGGGTCTCTGTGAGTTGGAACTGACTCGACGGCAAAAGGTTTTTTTTTTTGTTTGTTTGTTTTTGATAGCACTCCACTGCGTAAATATATCATATCTTGTTTAACCATTCCTATATTAAAATTGGAGTCCCTGGGTGGTGCAAACAGTTAACACACTAGACTGCTAACCCAAAGGTTGGAGGTTTATGTTCATCCAGAGGTGCCTCAGAAGAAAGGGCAGGTGATCTACTTCTGAAAAATCAACCACTGAAAACCCTGTGGAGCACAGTTCTACTCTGACAAACACTGGGCCGCCATGAGTCAGAATCAACTTGACAGCAACTTTTTTTTATATTAAAAATACTGCTGCAAAAAAAATATTCTGGGGCGGGGGGAGCCAATATGGGTGGCTTAGTCACATGCACCATACCGCACCTCTGTACCAAAGACCAAAAAACCAAGTGAAACAGAAGCAGATTCTGAGAATACTGAACATCAAAAAAGAAGGTCTAAGAACTGAATCGAACACTGACTAGAAGGAAAAAGTACGTGAATGCAGAGAACGAGGAGTAACATGGAATGCAGGAGCTCAGCCAGTCATCCTGGCCTGATGTGGCCATCTTAGGACAAAGCCAGCAGCGAACCCACGTGAAGAAAACAGAAAGGCAACTGCACAGCTTTCCCAAAAGGGACAGGGAAACTCTACAGACACACATGGAAAGAAGCAGAGGCATGGAGGAACCAGGATCCAGAACTGGAGATACTCAGGAGCGGTGGACCCTGACCTCAGGGGTGAGTAGCACACACAAGGTGGTAGACCTGCAGAGTATCAGCAGGATTCTCCTACCCAATCAGTCCCCGGGAGTCCCCCCCAAACACTCAAGAGGGGACAAGTCCCACTTGCTGACTGTAGAGAACACGAAGTTCCCTGGCAACCATGTCCAGCCAGAGGGACACATTCCCTCTTCACCCCTTTCTCCTGATTGGAGGCAGTAGTGGATCCCATACCCTGACCACCTCGCCTGACCAGGGGACCACAACACAAGCCTCTCTTCTTCTCCCCTACCCCACGCAACCCCGTCCACTACCCTCCTTGCCCACCCGATGAGTCAGAGCAGGCGCGCTCCAGTGCGTGCGCCTACCTGCCACCTACACCCCTCCAAGGGCCCAGCAGGGGCAGGGCAGCAAGACAGTTGAAGAGCCCGCCTACCACTCCTTCCTTCTTTCCCCCCACCTAGCAAGGGGTGGAGGAGACAGGATTGCATGTGCACCCCTCTGCCAACCCTTCCTCCTTCCCCCTGTCCTGCATGAGGTAAGAGGTGGAGGCAGCACCACTGTGCACACATCCACCTGGCACAATTCCCTCAACCTGCCCAGAGAGGGGTGAAGTAGCCGCAACTTTGCGTGTATCCCCCATGAGTCCTTTCCTCCCTCCTCCTGCTCAGCACGACATGGAAGCGGAGCAAGTGTGCACATATCTACCTGCTGTACTTTCCTCCCTCTCCTCACCCACCAACAGGCAGATGCAGTGTGACTGAGTGCGCATCCGCCTGCCATTCCTTCCTCCCTCCCCATCCAGGAGGAGGCTGAGATAGTTAGACTGCATGCACGTCTGCCTACCATCCCCCCTCTACCACCCACTCCCCCTTCAACCAGTGAGGTGATGACCATGCTTCCTCGCCCACCACACCGGCTGCTCTACCTGCAAGGAAAGCACTACTGCCCACTACTGCACCACAGAACCGAAGACAGACAGAGGCCAAAGCCCAACCAACTTACCCTCAGCCACCCTGCAAGACCCAAGCTCCCACACCTACCCACTGCCCCACTTGCCCGGTGGCAGGTAGGGAGCACTCCAGCATGGCCAGTCCAGCAACCAGACCACCACACCAGCCACATCTGCCAGGAATCATCAAAACAAAACAAAAAAAAAACAGGACCCAGCAAACGATTATACAACTAACAAATAAATAAAATAACACATTAATCTCCCAAAGACAACAGAGTATAGCAAACCATCTAAAGAAGCAACGTAAGATGGCCCCAGCAAGTGATCAAAATAAAGGACCAGAAAACCTCCCTGAGGAAAAAAAGGTAATAGAGCTTCCTGATAAGGAATGCAAAAGACTTATGTATAGAGTTCTTGAAGGAATCAAGGAAAACACAGACAAAACCAAGGAAAGCACAGGCAAAATGCTAGAAGAATTCAGGAAACAATACAAGAACAAAATGACAAAATAAATAGATAATTGGAAACCATACAAAAACAGCAACTAGACATCCAGAAGCTTAACAATAAAATTTAAGAAATTGACAACTCAATGGGAAGTCATAGAAGTAGAACTGAAACAATGGAAGACAGGATCAGTGGAATAGACGACAAATCCTTTGACACTAATCTGTTTGAGGAACAAGCAAAAAAAAGAAGAAGAAGAAGAAAAACGAAGAAGGTCTAAGCATTATGTGGGATACTATCAAGAGGAATAACTTACCTGTGATCGGAATCCCAGAAGAGGAGATAACAAAAAGCAAAAAAGCATTGTTGAAGATTTGGTAACAAAAAACTTCCCTAATATCATGAAAGACAAGAAGATACTCATCCAAGAGCCACAACGAACCCCATACAGGATAGATTCCAAAAGAAGAACAATGAGATATATAATAAAACTTTCCAAAACCAAAGACAAAGAAAGAATCCTGAAAGCTGCCTGGGAAAAACAAAAGAGCACCAAAAAAGGGGCATCAATAAGACTAAGCTCTGATTACTCGACAAAAACCATGCAGGCACAAAGGCAATGGTATGACATATATAAAACTTTGAAAGAAAAAAACTGTCAACCAAGAATTTTATATTCAGCAAAATTATTCCTCAAATATGATGCTAAAATTAGGACATTTCCAGATAAACAGAAATTGAGGCAATTTGTAAAAACCAGACCAACTTTATAACAAACCTACTCAAGAAAATGTAAAAGAAGCCTTAGATCTGGAGAACTAGATGGTGCCTGGTTACCACCAATGACCCCCCTGACAGGGAACACAACAGAAAGTCCCAGACAGAGTAGCAGAAAAATGTAGAACAGAATTCAAATTCACGTAAAACAGAGCAGACTTAACGGTATGACAGAGACTGGAGGAACCCCAAAAACTATGGCCCCTGGATGCTCTGTTAAACCAGAACTGAAACTATTTCTGAAGCCCACTCTTTAGACAAAGATTAGACACCACTATAAAACAAAAAATAATACATGTGAGGAATGTACTTCTTACTTCAATCAGATATACAAGATTAAATGAGCAGCTCCTGTCAAAAAGCAGGATGAGAAGGCAGGAAGGGACAAGAAACAAGATGAATGGACACAGGGAACCCCGGGTGAAAGGGGGAGGGTGCTGTCACATTGTGGGGATTGCAACCAATGTCGCAAAACAATATGCGTATAAATTCTTGAATGAGAAATTAACTTGAGCTGTAAACTTTCACCTAAAGCACAATAATGAAAAATATATATAAAAGAAGAAAATCATACTCAGTACACACAAAACCAACAACAATGAAAGAAACAAAAAGAAAAGCCACAATCAAAAAGAACTCAGCACAGAAAATTAAGCAGAACAAGGAAACCGTTAATACCACACACAAAAGCATAAAAAATGACAGCAATAAACTCATACCTATCAATACTCACACTGAATATAAATACTTAAATGCACTAGTAAAGAGACGGAGATTGGCAGAACGGATAAAAAACATGACCCATCAATACACTGTCAGCAAAAGACACACCTTAGACACAAAGATATAAA